GAAATGAATTTCCTGTATAACCAAACACAAGATATGGGCAAAAAACACCAGAAAAAAGACATATTGGAATTTGATGGGAAATAAATCTAAGAAATGTAAATCAGACAGATAACAAAATGCGATAACTAATGAGTCATGGAAAGCATTTTCCGGTGTTCAGTTGTTCTGACAGTGCCTTTGATTCATTTTTCACCCAGAAAAGGGCAGCCTTTGCATCTGACCACACAGTTACATATTTCCCATGACACGATAATTGGTCTAATACGAATCGGCCTGCTCTGACTCCAATTAATATGGATAACAATTCGAGTTTAGGGATTGATATATCCTTGATTGGTGCTATTCGAGATTTAGCATACAGCAAATAAGATTTAGCAACTTCACTTTCCTCGTCAATGTATCTTACATATACAGCAGCCGCATAGGCATGTTTAGACGCGTCAGTAAATATATGAAACTCCATTGAATTGGTATCCCTGGTTAGGTACCTCGGTATTTGCTTGACTACTTTCGGCCAATCTGATATAAGCGCCTCCCATTTCTCCTTATCGGTATCATTTATGGATTGATCCCATGTATACTTCTCCTTCCATAAGTGCTGCATGAATAATTTAAACTTTATCATAATTGGGATTAAATATCCCAATGGATCGTACTGCGATGCGATAAATTGCAAAATCATTCGCTTTGTCAACCTTTTGTTTGACCATGATTTCAATCTTAGTTGCATGGTATCTGTTTCGTGGTTCCAATTAAGCCCAAAGAAAGTGTCTTTATTCGATTTGTTCAGATCGTCCTCTGACAATCGTTTATTAAATTCCTTATCGTTGGATAAGAATTCTCTAACATTCATCGAAGCCTTTCTGAATATTTCTTTGGTTTCACGGTATTTATCTATCGCTTCTTTTGTGTCATCTGCTGTCAAAATGATGTTATCGACATAGAGGTTTCGTTTTATTTCCCATGCCAGTCTACATGCTGCATTGTCCAAGTGATATTTGAGTGTTGCCGCTAATAAGGGTGATGATATTATCCCAAACGGTACTCGTTTAAATCCGTAAGATTTGACATTCTTCTCTAATACCTCCTCGGTTAAATTCTTGATCCATAAGAGCCTTGTGCAATTTCTCTCTTCTGGATGTAGACCTATCTGTAAGAAGGTCTTTTCTATATAGGCAACTATGACTAATTTCATCATACGGAACCGTAGTAATACTCCGACTAGATCGGGTAGCATTATCGGACCTCTGCGGAGAACGTTATTGAGACTCTTATATCCCTTTTGATGTGCTGATGCATCATAAACAATTCTTAATTTTGTGGTACTGTTATTTGAGTTCCATACTTCGTGATGCGGAAGATAATGTATGATACCCACTTCGTCTTTTTGGGAAATTTCTTCAATCGTTCCTGTTTGTAGTTGTTTCATGATTATGTTATGATATTTTGTTAGAAGCGCCTTGCGTTGTAACTTTGTGATTAGGTTCTTTAAGCGGCCCATGCATAAGCTATAATTGTCACTTAGATTTTGTTTAGCATCTCTCCATGGCCATCGGACGTAATAACACCCATCCTTTTTCGTGAGGGTTCTTTGAAAGCGTTCCAATATTTCTTCATCCTCATTATCATTCGGAGACTCTTAAATTCCTATCGCTTCTAATCTCCAAAAATTCTCTAGCACCGAATCAATATTAGCTCTAACGGTGCATACCAAATTCTGCGAAGCGATGTTATGTTTACAAAGCTTCCTTATATCTCCACTACCAGCTATGATAGGGCCAACTCTTGTTTGTACCAGCATATGACCAGAACGTAATTCCTGCTTGTCCGGCAATACGATGAACTCAGAGAAGTGATTGGCTCTAATCAATATATCGGGTTCTTCCCACTGATCTGTTAATTTCTGAAATTCAGTCCCCTCTGATGTATCCACGACTTGCAATTCATTGGTTATATGGTCAACTACCTTAACAGATAACGTTATAACGTCGTTTTTCACCGTTCGAACATTCAATTGGGTAGAAGCTGTGGGACACAGTGTTGGATTCCTCATGCCGAACGAGGTTATTTCCATAATTTGTTTGTCCGATTCTGCCAATCCCAATTGCTGCGATAACTTCTGAGAAATAAAGACTTGCGAGAAATAAAGGAGACTAAGATCCATTGTGGCAGCCTGTCTTCTATCCAATGTTCAATACTTGACTGCTCCATGTCCTCTCCTAGTGCTTCCAATTGCTGTATCACCTTCTCAATATGTTCGACCATTTTCACCCACTCCTTCTCATCCCTTTTAATGGATCTGAGCTCCTTATATAATATGGCCGTTACTGTAGAAGGATCACCATATTTTTCCCTAAGTAATCGTCTTATGATTTCATAATTCTCGGGCGCAATATCATATCCTGATATT